AGAAGTAATAATAATAATGATAATAATAACAGAAATAATAATGAAGGAAATCTATAATAACTATAACTTCAGTAACGAAAAAGAAAGAGAGAGGGAATAGTGAAAGAGAAAAACAAAACTGAAAAATCTTTGATAATTTTTGCTGAAGATTACTTCTTCACAAATTATTCCTCTTCCTGACTTCTAATATTCAGTCGGAGGACTCGCCAAACCGTTTCCTATGGCTTCAGGCAGTTCCCACAGACTCAAGCTCATTGCACGGGAAATTCAGGCACACAATGCACTTTCACCTGTATGATACAAAAAATTGACTGCTTTGATCGGCATTTTTTGGATTTCCTCGGCGCTCTCATCTTTTCTCATGTACCAGGGGAAAGTGCAAAATATCTGTAACACACGACTCATGAAATGTAAAATAATCAATTACTGGCAAAATGAAGGATGTTCTTGGCTCTCTGATCCTGAACAGAGTATTTTTCTCGTAATGTTTTTGTTAAGTCCGCAAAAAATCACAAGAATGTTGATCGATTTAGCTCGATTAAAATGCAGATGATTAAGTCGACATGTGGCAAGCAAATGTGTTTTTAGAATTTTTCTGAGAAAATTTCAAATGTCAACAAATTTCATGCATTTTACAGGTTTTCCCTTATCGTGCCTGTGATATTAAGAGGAAGGGCTATGATCGGACGCTCATCGATCACATCGCTGTCGTATTCTTTGATGATCTGGAACCATTCATTACGGGATGCGTTTCACTTGATAATCAGGTCAACCATTTGTAATCACTTTATTACATATGGAGAGTTCTGGATCTGACAAATTATCACAGTTTGTCTTTGATTTTCATCTAAAATTTTACCGCATAAACTACTTAACTGCATAAATTCGATTATCGTCGTCTCTAAGGAGGGATGCTTTTTGACTTTTAAATTCGGAAATTTAAAAAGTTATGATCGCATCCTACATGTCTGGTTTCTTCAGATTAAAATGGTAGTGATAAGATGGACAATGGTACTGTCTTTCGTTCTGGTTCCTGAATAGTGGCGGTAATCCAGTTCCACTGGTGGTACTTCTGATGAAGGGATTCTTTGTCCTGGACTTTTTTGTAGTAGAATAAAGCCATCGATTCAGCATTAATTCTGTACCTTCATGAGACCTTTCTGAATAACCCTGTATGTTCAGTTTTCGGTGTATTTACACGACAAAGCAGAAACGACACACTTTGTTTAAGACTACTTATAGACCTTTCGAAAAAATACGTCAGAAACAGAAATTTGATAAGATGTTATTAACAAATATCACTTGCATTGTGGCTAAAATCTGCACTGTGACTAAAAAATTCTTTTTGCTCTTTACCCTAATTAGTCCTTTCTTATCACCAAAGAAATTGTTTATTATAATTTTATAACTGGAATACTAATTACCTATATAACGTATGTCATGCCGTACTCTATGATCCAGAAGAGCTCTTCTTAGTCTTCTGCCCAGGCATGCACTCGCTGACCACGTGAACTAGCCACATGTCACGGTATGCTGGTCACTTTCAGTTGGCGGAGTGCGAATGCGTGGAGGGGTGAAGGCAGTGCTCCTTGAATCCCAGATAATCATTGTGCGGTCGTTAATTGGGCCTGCTCGTTCTTTCGTTGTACAGTACTCCTCCTCTTCCTCGTTGCTCATCGTCTCTACAAAGTAATGGACACGAAAAGGCCATTAAATCGGAAAGGTGCTCATTTCGATGGCTAAATTTATGGGGGCCTCCAGCATTCCCAGCGAGCCCACCACCCCTCTCCACTGCTTGCTGCCATCTGTTATCTGCGCCATTTCGCTATTATCGCTGCGAGTCAGCCCGCCGTGTTGCTGACGCTATTTCGAGCAAAAATCGGGGGACCAACGCATCAGATGATAAGCGATCTGAAGGGTTATCACATATGTCACATATCATAACATACACAGGGAATTTGATTTACATATTCATATTTGTATTTCCTGTGATAAACCCATCACCTATAACTTAGGTTTTTTTACACCTCATACTGCCAGCGAACTGCTTACCATTTATTACTGGGAAGACACGAAGGCAAGCAGAAGCAG